AAATATTAATTTAATGTCTGTCACATATGTATAATTTTTTTTAACCGCTCTTTTTCTTCGTTCAATTTCTATTGACTCTGAATTTTTTTGTAACTCACAAGACATAACAGATATGCATAAACGACAAATTTTCATACTAACTTCAATTATCAACTTTTAAAAATCAAATTGTTGACAATAAAACTTTTACGTTTTCGAATAATGTTACACATTATACATATTAGTGATAAATTACATTTGATAAACCTATATCCTAAATCGTTAAAATCGCAAATATCACTTCTGAACTTTAGGTTTCAAAAATATAAATATTTATACGTATACATGTAGCAAAGAGAGAATATACAATAGGTGTCGCACCACACGAAAGATATTCCACATACGCCAGTTTGTGTTTCATACGCGATCATATCAGATATAACAAACGCGGCAGTGCTAATGCGTGTACATAAATTATTTGATTAATAGTATAATAGTTTGAAATTGAACAAAAACTTAAAAAAATAAAATGTTTTCTTTATTGAAATTGATGATAATAATTTTACTAAATGAAACGTACGCGCATATAACATATGATATCGAAACAATATTACTGCCGGCATCGAACCTGACAGGCGCAAAGGAGGTACGTGCATTTTACAGTAATATTCTATTTGTTGCTCGACCGTCGTTATTTGAGAACAAGGCTGAGAAAATTGCTTTATAAAAGTAACTGGTTACCGTTATCGTTACTCAAAAAGTAACAAATCGTTACACTTTCCGTTACTTTTTGTATATATAATACAAATTTTATGCACAATTTTATTAATACAAAATTAAATTTAACACTACAAATTTACAGTAAACATTAAAAATTTTTAAACATTATTTTTCACTAAAGTAACAAAAATGATATAAATATAATAATAATATTGCTATTAATATAAAGTGTAATAATTTTAGTAATATATAATAAAAGTAATAATTTTGATAATAAGATATTTTAAATAAGAAAAATTTTTAATAAGTTGTAAACAAGCTTTCTTAAAAATTTTTAGATGTTGTAAATATAAATTAAAAAGTTTTCTTTTTGTTAAATTTTTTATAAATTCGTAAATATATAGAGTAAATTTGAAAAATGTAACGATAAAAATAACTGTTAAATTCAGTACTCGTTACCGAAAAATGTAACAAAGTTACTTTCTTCGTTGCAAAAAAAATTTGTAACGCCGTTACCGTTACAGTTTCCAAAAAAAAGTAATTGTAACGATAACGGCGTTACAAATAATGCGTTACTTCCCAACCCTGTTTGAAAAATATCAAATTTTTTACTTAATTGTCATCCATTTTACAGATATCAATAACACTAAAAGTTTTCGGAAAATTAATTCAACTACATCTGCGCAGAAGTGATAAAATTGTATCGCCTGCGTTCAAAGAATGGAAATATAATGTGAAAGGCGTTACAGAGAAATTGTTTGAATTAAACGTATCAAGTCATTGCTTTTATTATCATGAAGATCATATCAGCTCTGCGGCCATCAACTTTTGTCATCAACATGGATTGGTCAGTAACATTGTATGAAAAACAAGCTGTTTTACAATTTTTATGTTTTTACTCGACATCTGTATTATTTTTCGTTTTACATACAAGTATGACACGTAAAAAACAAATATAACTTTTAAAAATTAGAAAGGACTCGTTTTTATGGAAAATGACACATTGGAGATTTGGCCTTTGCGGAACGAGTTTACGCCTATCTGCTTGATCGACAATTTTAGAAGACAAACAAATCTTTCATTTGGCAAACTTTATGCTATCAAACGATCACTGCAATATCTTGCTGATTTAAATCTTTACTACTGGGACATGTTTAAACTGAAGCGACGTCATGTACGCAATGCGCAACAAAATTTAACCATGGAACTTGCTGTTTTCATCGACGAAGCAGCATATCATATGTGCATGTTTATTCAGGACAATGATGAGGATAAGTTACGCAATATTATAGTAGTGTATGTGAACCGCATCCAGGCTGCCTTTAATCGTCCGAATTTGAATGTTTTTATCAATATTACGTTATTAAGTTTAAATATTCTGAGAAAACAGACGTTAAATTTGTTATTTTCGAACAACGAGGCTGGCCAACGGCTCGATTCGTTCTGCAAATATGCGAATTCTCTCAATCCTACGAACGATGATGATCCGAATCATTGGGACATAAGCCTTTATCTAACCGGAGTAGATCTTTATGCAGATATGCTAGTACAACATGAAGGGCATTACAGAGATGAAAAGAATTTTGAGATTACGGGATGTTCTAACTACGAAGGCGTATGCGATCCGCTTCTCTCATGCGCGATAGCAGAATTCCGTGACAAATCTGAAGTCGAATCCTCTCTTAATGCGATTCAGAAGATCGGTGATCTGTAAGTTTTGAAGAACTAGTTTTATGTATAAATTAAGAATATATAATATTTTATAATAAAATTTATTTAAATGTACAAGTGTACAATAAAGTCAACAAATAAAAAATCACTTTTAAGAAATTTTAATGTTTAATTGTTTATTATGTAAAAAATTTATAAATTAAAAAATAATTAAGAATATTTCAATTAAACAATGCAATGTAAGGCATATATTTAAAATTAATAATTTATCTGTTCTACAGCTTAGGATTAAAACAAGAGCAAAGTTCTAGCGATTCGCAAATGAACATAACATGGTCCGAGTATAGTCGTGAAAAATCTAAAAAATTTTGGGAAAGAAAAACGTGTCTTAGAGATCAAGCAAAAACAATGATCTCTAAAAAGAAAAACGTCAATAGTACGGGAAAAAATTTAACTATAGAACTTGCTGTTTTCTTTGACGAAGCAGCATATTATTTGTGCATGCGTATTCCAACCAATTATGAAGATAAGTTTCGCAATATGATATTAGCGTATGTGAATCGCATCCAGGCTGCCTTTAATCGTCCGAATTTGAATGTTTCTGTCAATATTACATTATTAAGTTTGAATTTTCTGAGAAAACAGAAGTTAAATTTGCCATTTTTGAACAACGAGGCAGTTCAAGTGCTCGATTCGTTCTGCAAATATGCAAATTCTCTCAATCCTACGAACGATGATGATCCGAATCACTGGGACATAAGTCTTTATCTAACCGGAGTTGATCTTTATGCAGATATGCTAGTACAACATGAAGGGCATTACAGAGATGAAAAGAATTTTGAGATTACGGGATGTTCTAACGACGAAGGCGTATGCGATCCGCTTCTCTCATGCGCGATAGTAGAATTCCGTAACCAATCTGAAGTCGAATACTCTTTTACTGCTATTGAGAAGATCGGTCAACTGTAAGTTCTTAAGATTTAGTTTTAAGTATAAATTAAGAATACATAATATTATATAATAGAATTTATTTAAATGTACAATTGTACAATAAAGTCAACAAGTAAAAAGTCACTTTTAAGAAATTTTATTGTTTAATTGTTTGTTATGTAAACAATTAATAAATTACAAGATATTTAAGAATATTTTAATTAAACAATGTAAAGTAAGGCATATATTTAAAATTAATAATTTATCTGTTCTACAGTTTAGGATTAAAACAAGAGCCAAGATCTAGCGATTCGCAAATGAACATAACATGGTCGGAGTATAGTCGTGAAAAATCTAAAAAACTTTGGGAAAGAAAAACGTGTCTTAGAGATCAAGCAAAAACAATTTCTAAAACGGAAAACATCGATAATGATAAAACACAATAAAATTTAATCATGGAACTTGCCGGTTTCGTCGACGAATCAGCATATTATACATCCTTGTTTCTTGTGGAACACAATAACGACAAGTTACACAATATGACATTAGCGTATGTGAATTGTATCCAGGTTGCCTTTAATCGTCTGAGTTTTAATGTTTTTATCAATATCATGTTAATAAGCGTGAATATTCTGAAAAAACAGCCGCAAAATTTGCCATTTTCTAACGGCGATACTGTTCAACTGCTCTCTTCATTCTACACAAACGCAAATTCTCTATATTCCCCGGACGATAATGATCCGCGTTACTGGGATATTGCCCTTTTCTTGACCAGAGTAAAATTTTATGCAGATATTCTAGTAAAACATAAAGCACATTACAGAGATGAGAAGATTTTTGAGAATACGGGAAATGCTTACTACGATGACGCATGCGATCCGCTTTTCTTTTGCGCAATAGTAGAATTCCGCAAACCATTTAAAATCATATCACCTGTTGATGCTGTTTATGAAATCAGCAGTCTGTAAGTTTTTATATATTAGTTTTGCGTATAAATTGAAAATAAATTACATTATTTAATACTATTTATTTAATTGTACAATTGTACAAAAGAATCAGCAAGTAAACAATCACTTTAAAAAAATTTTATTTTTTTATTTTTTGATAAATAAACTATTGATGAATTAAAAGATATATAAAAATATTTTAATTAAACTATGCAAAATAAGGCACATATTTAAGTTTAATAATTAATCTGTTCTACAGTTTAGGATTAACAAAAGAGCGAAGTCTTAGCGATTTGAAAAGGAATATAACATGAACCGAGGATAGTTGTAACAAAATAAAAAACCTCTAGAAAGGAAAAATATGTTTTGGAGATCAAGCAAAAACGATGGTCTCTAAAAAGGAAAACATCAATAATGATAATACGCGAAAAAATTTAACCATGGAACTTGCCGTTTTCTTCGACGAACCAGCATATCATATGTACATGCCTGTTCTGAACAATAATGAGAAAGAGTTACGCAATATGATACTAGCATACGTAAACCAAATTCAAGCTATGTATCGTCACTTAAGTTTCGGAGCTTTTGTTAATGTTTCGTTAGTACGATTGGTAATAATGGATGAACAGCCGTCAAATTTGCCAGTTTTCGACGGTGACAGTGATAAACTGCTCAATTTGTCCTGCGAATACGCAACGACTTATATTCGCACTGGGACATTGGCCTTTACATAACCGAAATAGGTCTTTATGAGATGATAAACGAACAAAAGTATTATGTTACCTTGGGAAGGTCTTACGTCAATTTATCTTGTAGAAACCAGATTTTTTCGTGCAGTATAGTAGAATTCGGTACTATACGTAGAACGCATTCTCGGGTGGTTTGCAACGTCTCATGCTGCTGCTCATGATATTGCCCATGTATAAGTTTATGTATATTACTTTTACCGACAAATTAAGTACATAAAATTTATTAAAAGAATTTTCTTACTTGTGCAATTGAAGGATAAAAACTGCTCAGAAATTAAAAAATTTAATTTTTTAAAGTGTAAAACTCTCTTCTTAAAAACTACAAAGTATATAAAAATATTGCAAATAATGTAGTTTTTAAAAACTAATAACTTATTTGTTCAAAAAAGTAGAAATGGATCATGATAATGGCTTTATCTATTCGACGTCAGAAAGCCAAATGCATATGGCAGATAAGCAATACTATCGTGGCCAGGTAACATGGTCCGAATGTAGTTGTAATGTTACTAAAAAACTCTGTAAAACAAAACAGTGCCTTCTCGATCATTCAAGACAAAAAAATCTCGAAGATGCATTAAACCATTCGCGTTATCATGATATACCCGGAAAAGAATGGATTGCCAAAGCGCAATGTAAATTATTTTTACGCGACAAAGATGCAAACGAAGTAACGTTGCATGATATATTCAAGTCTTACATTGCGAAACGTCTCACAAGAATAAGAATTTCTTCGTGGGACCTGCGTTGGATGGAATGTCTTCTTTTCAAATTAAGTACTGCAGTTTTTAATTTATTGAATTTTTTTCAAAAACTCATTGTGCACTCGGGAAAGAATGTCGCGGCAGAGAATGCGTGGCGGTTATCGAACCACCATACATTTTTTCGTATTGTGAAGACGATAATTAGAGTGAATGAAAAGAAGACTCCTGTAAAAGCGATTGCTTAACGGAATCCAAAGGCGTGATAATCAAACGACGTTTTTGCAAACATGGTACTAAGAAAACGGCTAGTTGTAATGGGCCATATTACGACGTGGTTCTGTGCAATGACTTCAGACTTTGCACTGAAGGATGCTATACGATTACCAAATAAACTGTTCTAAAATGCACTAAACTCATTCTAAAAATGAAAAAAAAGGCAAAAAATATTTAATAATAATAAGTACGAACTGGTAAATGAGCAAGGAAGGCAGGCCTCCCATGTCGTCGAGGAACCGTGGAGAGCCTGTACCATACACTGCCTATGAGAAGAAAAAATATCTGCTAAATACAATCTATTGTTTTTCTATGCACCACGCCAGGACATGCTCGACTTAAATATCAATCCATACTTTCCAGATGGAACGTGGTGTCACGAGAAAAATGGCCAGGATTATTATTGCCGCCAGTATTATTGTCTGCCGGAAAACTACTCAATCAAAGAATAATTACCGATAGCTTCTCGACATGTGTTGGCAAGAATCTAAAATAAATCAAAACTGCAAAATAAGCATAAGTCAATTTAAAATTGTTTAAAATTTGTTCATTATGAAACCTAAAATCCGTTGAATTATCGTCGTTACTTTATATTTTAAGCAATAAATCCAATTTTTGCTAGCAAAAAATAAATTTATATGCTGAAAAATACGCGTCAAATTATTGACATGAAAAATTCTATCCAAAATCCAGATAACTATTAATGATTTCATAAAGAAAAAAAGTAAATATTTATTAGTGGACATAGATCTGAATAAAATATAATGATAAATCAATGCTCAGAATTAATTGAGCATCTGAATCGATTTTCGTCATTGGTACCTGCTTTCTTTTTTCGTCGGACGCGCCGTTACAGCTACAGCCAATGCATTAGAAGTTGTTATCAAATTTATTAGTAAATTCTTCTTCCATAAGATCATCTACGTAAACTTCAAATCTCGTGAAATTTATAATGCACTACTCAAATATATATATTACTTAAACAAAATGTTGTTTTCTCTATATTTATACTTGTATATTTATAATTGTATTGAACTACGTATCACACGATTGAATATTTTTCAAATTATTCATTACCAATAAAGAATCCCTTATTGCACTTATGAGCGTGTCATATTGCCAGATTTACATTACGTTAGAATGATGTTACTAGTGATTGATTTCGATATATTTATTAACTCAATATTACTTCTCTATAAATATTTTTTAACTATTAATATTTTTTAAAACGAATTTTATTAGACAGAATAAATGTACAAAAATATTAATTCTTAACAATGTCTGTCGCAATTTGTATAATTTTATTAAATTGTTTCTTTTCTTCGTTCGATTTCCATTGACCCTAAATTTTAACGTAACTTTCAAGACATTACGCATATGCATAAACGACAACTTTGTATACCAACATTAATTATCAACTATTTGAAATAAAATTATTGAAAATTAAATTTTAACGTTTCCGATCAATGTTACACATTATACATATTAATGATAAATTACATTTTATAAACCTATATCCTAAACCGATATCATAAACACCACTTCTGTACTTTAGGTTCTAGAAACATAAATATTTATACATATACAGCAAACAGATAATGTTCAATAGGTGTCACACCACACGAAGTATATTTCTCATACGCCAGTTTGAGTTATATTCGCGATCATTACAGGTATAACGAACGCGACTGTGCTAATACGTGTATATAAATTATTTAAGTAATAATTTAAAATTGAAAACCTTAAAAAAATAAGATGTTTTCTTTATTGAAATTGGTAATAATAATCTTAATAAATAAAACTTACGCGCATATCACGCAAGATATAGAAATAATATTACTACCGATATCGAACCCGACAGGAGTAGAAAAGGTACGTGCATTTTACAGTATCATTCTATTTGTTGCTCGAGTCGTTATTCGAGAATTATCAAACTTTTTTTTAATTGTCATACAATTTACAGATACCAATAACAATGAAAGTTTTCGGACGATTGATTCAACTGAATCTGCGCAGAAGTGATAAAATTGTATCGCCTGCGTTCGCAGGATGGAAATATAATGCGAAAAGCGTTACACAGAAATTGTTAAAATTAAACGTATCAAGTCATTGTTATTATAATATTATCACGAAGATCGTATCAGCTCTGCGGCCATCAACTTTTGTCATGAACATGGATTGGTGAGTAACATTATGTGAAAAACAAACTTTTACAATTTTTATGTTTTTACTCGACATCTGTATTATTTTTCGTTTTACATACAAATATAACACGTAAAAACAAATATATCTTTTAAAAATTAGGAAGGACTTGTTTTTACGGAAAACGACAAATTGGAGATTTGGCCTTTGCGGAACGAGTTTACGCCTATGTGCTTAATCGACGATTTTAGAGAACAAACAAAACTTTCATTTGGAAAACCTTATGTTATCAAAAGATCACAGAAATATTTTGCTGATTCAAATCTTCACCACTGGGATATGTTTAAACAGAAGCGACGTCACGTACGCAATACGCAACAAAATTTAACCATGAAACTTGCCGTTTTCGTCGACGAAGCATCATATAATACGTCCATGTCTATTTTGGATAATGATGAGGATAAGTTGCACAATATTATATTAGCATACGTGAATCGCATCCAGGCTGCCTTTAATCATCCCAGTTTGGATATCTTTATGAATATTACCTTAATACGTTTGAAGATGCCGACAGAACAGCTGTCAAAATTGCCAGTTTCTGACGGCGAAGCTGGCCAACTGCTCGATTCGTTTTGCAAATATGCGAATTTTCTCAATCCTACGAACGATGATAATCCGAATCATTGGGATATAGGCCTTTACTTAACCGGAATAGATCTTTATGTAGATATTCTAGTAAAACATAAAGGGCATTACAAAAGTGAGAGGAATTTTGAGATTACGGGAAAGGCTCACTATGAAGGCGTATGCGATTCGCTTCTCTCATGCGCGATAGCAGAATTTCGTGATCAATCTGAAGTCGAATACTCTCTTACTGCTATTGAGAAAATTGGTGAACTGTAAGTTTTTATGAACTAGTTTTACGTATAAATTATGAATACATAATATTTTTTATTAGAATGTAGGGTGTATCACAAAACTCATAAGACTCTTTGATTAATAATAAAAAAATGAAAGAATTTTAATACTGGTAATCTCACAAAATGCTTAATACAATTCGTAGTACCTGCAGTCTCACAATCTCGCCGTCTCAGTCTTGTAGAATACTTCACACAGCTCGCAGTCTCGTAATAACTCGTAATCTCGTAATAACTCGTAACTCGTGATACTCGTGATACTCGTAGTAGCTCACAGTACTCGTAATCGATCGTATAATAATACAACCGCTCGTAATCTCGTAATCTCGTAATCACGTAATCGTCTTTATTTCTTCGTCACGTCCTACGTCTTATGTCCTACGTCACTCACTCTCAATTCACACACACTTAAACTCACACTAACTCTCATCTCTAATGCTAACTCTAACGCGACTCTAATGCGTCGCGTCGCGGTCACTCGCGGAATCTATAATTTAGCTTTGCTCACGCTCGCGCTCGCGTAAGCGCGATTATTAAAACCATTTTACGTATAACTTATAATTCTACCTTTACGTATAATTCTAGATATTCTAACACCTTACAGGAATTTATTTAAATATACAATTATATAATAAAGTCAACAAGTAAAAAATTACTTTTAAGAAATTTTATTGTTTAATTGTTTATTATATAAACAATTAATAAATTAAAAAATATTTAAAAATATTTTAATTAAACAATGCAAAGTAAAACATATATTTAAAATTAATAATTTATCTGTTTTACAGTTTAGGACTTATACCATAACAAAGTTCTGGCGATTCGCAAATGATCGTAACATGGTCCGAGTATAGTCGTAAAAAATCTAAAAAACTCTGGGAAAAAAAAACGTGTCTTAGAGATCAAGCAAAAACGATGATCTCTAAAAAGGAAAATGTCGATAAATCGCGAAAGAAATTAACCATAGAACTTGCCGTTTTCCTCGACAAAGCAGCGTATCATATGTACATGCCTATTCTGGATAATGATGAGGATAAGTTACTCAATATGATATTAGCATACGTGAACCAAATTCAAGCTTTCTTTCATCATACAAGTTTCGCTACTCCAGTTGATATATTATTGGTACGATTGGAAGTTATGGAAAAACAACTGTCAACTTATTTTATCGGCAAAGAAAATGAATTGCTCTCTTTGTTCTGCAATTACGCGTCAATACAAAATCCTCCAAAAGACGATGATCCCGATCATTGGGACATTGGCCTTTATCTAACCAGAATAGATCTTTATAAGATAGAAAACCCACAAAAATATTATGACATGATAGGAATGGCTTATACCAATTCCTCGTGTACCCACTATTTTTCGTGCGCCATAGTAGCATTCGGTACTACAGGTCTGAACACACCCTCGGGTTTTATGACGTCTCGTGCTGCTGCTCGTCAGATCGGCCATCTGTATGTTTATGTATACCACTTTTACATACAAATTAAGTACATAACATTTATTAGAAGAATTTTCTTATTTGTGCAACTGAAATATAAAAACTGCTCAGGGATTTTTAAGATATTTATTTTTTAAATTGTAAAACTTCTTAGAAGCTACAAAGTATATAAAAATATTGTAAATAAAGCATATTTCTTTGTAAAAGTAATATTTTATTTGTTCTGAAGATTAGGAATAAATCACGATAATGGCTCTTTCGATTCGACGTGTGCGAAAGACAAATACATGATGGCAGATTTGCAATACCGTCGGGGCCAGATAGCATGGTCCGAGTGTAGTCGTAACATTGCGAAAGAACTCTGGAAAGCACAACCGTGTCTTCGCGATCACACGAGACGAAAAATTCTCGAAGATGGATTAGAGCATTCAAGTTATCGCGATTTACCCGGAAGGAACTGGACTGCCAAAGCACAATGTCAATTATTTTTACGCGACAAAGATGCAAACGTAATCACGTTGCATGATATATGTCAAGTCTTACAATGCGAAACGCCTCACGAGAATAAGTACTTCTTTGCAGGACCAGCACTGGATGGTACGTCTTTTTATCAAATTAGATACTATAGTTTTTATTTTATTCAATTTTCTTCAGGAACTCATTGTGCACTCGAGAAAGAATGTCGCGGCGGAGAATGCGTGCCCGTAATCAAACCACCTCTCCCATATTGTAAAGAAGATAACTGGAGTGAATGGGAGGAAGACTCCTGTAAAAGCAATTGCTTGACGAAATCGAAAGGTGTGGTAATCAAACGACGTTCTTGCAAACATGCTACTTACAAAACGGCTAGTTGTAATGGGCCATATTACGACGTGGTTCTGTGTAATGACTCCAGCTTTTGCACTAAAGAACGCAAAACGATTGCCGAATATACTGATTTAAAATGCACCGAATTCAGCTTTATATTGAAATCATACTACAAAGAATATTTCAAGTACGTACCGAAAATTGGGCCAGGACAGCAAAACTCTCATGACGTTGGGAAACCGTGGATAGCCTGCACCATATACTGTCAACGAGAAGAAAAAATATTTGCTAATTATAGTATATTTTATTTCTACACACCACGCCTGGAATTGCTTGAATTAGATGTCAACCCATACTTTCCAGATGGAACGTGGTGTCACGAGAAGGATGGGCAAGATTATTACTGCCGTCAGCATTATTGTCTGCCGAAAAATTATTCAATCGAAGAATAATTACCGAAAACTTCTCGATTTGTGAGAACAAGGATCTAAGAGAAAATAAAATTGCAAAACGCGCATAAGTCAATTTAAATCTGGTTACTATTTGTTTAGTATGAAACCGAGGATCCATTGAGTTATCATCGTTACTTTTTATTTTACGCAGTAAATAAATTTTTTGTTAGCAAAAGACAAATTTATATGTGGAAAAATACGTAGAATTATCGACATTAGAAACAAATTCCAATCAAAATTCAGAAAGTTGTTAGTAACCGCAGAGAGAAAAAAAATTAATATTTCTTAATTGACATGGATCTGAAAAAATAACATAATGTTAAATCAGTGCTCAGAATTAATTTAGCATCTGAATCGACTTTCGTCATTCGTAATTTGCTTTTCTTTCTTCATCGCGCGCGCCGTTACAGCTATAACCAATGCATTAAAAGTTGCGCTATCGAAGTAATAAGTGGGTTCTTCTGCGATAAGAATATCAATTACTTAATGTTCAAACCTCATGAATTTTATAATGAACTATTGAAATATATATTTATTACTTATACAAAATATTGTTTTCTCTATATTTATGGGTATTGTATTGAATTACGTATCACATGATTGGATATTTCTCAAATTATTTATTGCCAAAAAAATATTTCTTGCTGAATTTACGAGCGTGTCACATAGCCAGATTTGCATTACGTTAGAATGATGTTAGAAGTGATTGATTTCTTATATATTTATTAACTCAATGCTTCTACTCAATATATATATTTTTAATAACAAATTTTATTTGACACAATAAAGGTGAAAGAAATATTAATTTAATGTCTGTCACATATGTATAATTTTTATTAATTGTTCTTTTTCTTCGTTTGATTTCTATTGACTCTGAATTTTAATGTAACTCACAAGACATAACAGATATGCATAAACGACAAATTTTCATACTTACTTCAATTATCAACTTTTAGAAATCAAATTATTCACAATAAAACTTTTACGTTTTCGAATAATGTTACATATTATACATATTAGTGATAAATTACATTTGAAAAATCTATCCCAAATCGTTAATATCGCAAATATCACTTCTGAACTTTAGGTTTCAAAAATATAAATATTTATACATATACATATAGCAAGGAGAGAATATACAATAGGTGTCGCACCACACGAAAGATATTCCTCATACGCCAGTTCGTGTTTCTTTCGTGATCATAACAAATATAACGAACGCGACAGTGCTTGTGCGTGTATATAAATTATTTGATTAATAGTTTATTAGTTTGAAATTGAACAAAAACTTAAAAAATAAAATGTTTTCTTTATTGAAATTGATGATAATAATCTTACTGAATGAAACGTACGCGCATATTACACATAATATTGAAACAATATTACTGCCGGCATTGAATCCGACAGGCGCAATAAAGGTACGTGCGTTTTACAGTATAATTCTATTTGTTGCTCGTTATTCAAGAATTATTAAATTTCTTTTTTAATTGTCATTCAAATTACAGATACCAACAACACTGAAAGTTTTCGGACGATTAATTCAACTGAATCTGCGTAAAAGTGATAAAATTGTATCGCCTGCGTTTGGAAAATGGAAATATAATGCGAAAAGCGTTACACAGAAATTGTTGGAATTAAACGTATCAAGTCATTGTTATTATTATGAAGATCGTATCAGCTCTGCGGCCATCAACTTTTGTCATGAACATGGATTGGTCAGTAATATTATATAAAATACATATAGTTTCAAAATTTTTATGTTTTTACTTGTGTATACTGTAATACTTTTTATTCAAAATACAAGTATGGCACGTAAAAAACAATATATGTTTTCTAAAAGTAGGAAGGATTTATTATTGTGGAAAACTACACGATAGAGATTCGGCCTTGGAACGAGTTCACGTCTATGTGCTTAATCGACGATTTTAGAGAAGAAACTAATCTTTTTTTTGGCAAACCTCATCTTATTAAAAGATCACTTGATGATTTTGTTGATTCAAATTTTTATCATTGGCACATTTTTAAACAAAAGCGACGTCACGTACGCAATGCGCAACAAAATTTAACTATAGAACTGGCCGTTTTCGTTGACGAAGCAGCACATTATACATCTATGTTTCTTGTGAGGCACAATGACGATAAGTTACACAATATGATATTAGACTATGTGGATCGTATTCAAGCTGCCTTTAATCGTTCGAGTTTGGAAGTTTTTATCAATATTACGTTAATAAATTTGGATATTTTGAGAAATCAGCTGTTGTATAAGCGCTAAAATCAGTCGTGCACGACATCAATTATACCGAAGGTATTGTAAGCGTTACGTTAGGTAATTACGCGATACGTACGATGCACCACCGATGGGTACGGCACGTACATCTACGACCGACACCATTCTCACAATAGCAATGGCGATACCGGTAATTACATAAATGTCCATTCGAAGTTACTTATCGAGGATCTGTCAGGATCAAAAGGCAGGACGGTATATTAGGTGCAAACACAATAATACAATAACGATATTTATTAATGTCATTAACACTCGCGTACATACATCGTGGTACTGATTACCAAAAAACACGACGGACGTGTTGTCACACGAACTGCTCAAACGGCAATTGCCCGGCACACATGCCGTGACACGCTCGGATAACTTCGTATAATGCATCAGCTAATCCTGATTGGCCCTTATTAAGGATATTCCTACGCCTAGGTCGCTAGACGCAGCGCATTAGATAACTCGCGCGTGGTCGCGAGGACCGCGGGAAAGGGGGTACAGTGACGCTCAATCGGCGGCGCTGCACATCATTGCTTACAGTTCGGCCAGCCTGCATTTACATTCGACCCGAATGTGTTCTGACCCTAAAAGGTTTACAAAATAACATATTGCAGGAACTTAAAAGAAATTGGAACTGATCAATAATCATTTAAAGTTTAAATCATAAGAAATAGAAGAACAAAACCTGCATAAAGATAGGACACGATAGTGTACTCAAAACAGAAGTCAAAATTACGTAAGTAACAAAAGGAGAATTCTCAAATATAAAATATGAAATATCTGCTTTAGCAGAAACGCGATATACTTAACCTAACTACAAAAGTATAAACGCTAAACTTAGGTCTAAAGAAACGCAATCTTAATTCAAATACAAATTTAAACTACAAACTAAATGACTGGTTTGACCCACGGCTTGATCCGATCGGGAGATAGTATCGAGTTATAAGGGCGAGGAGTTATATTAAAACCAGGGATGTCCTGTATCACGTAACGGTTATTATTTGAAACTTTTGTAACCTGGTACGGCCCTTTATAATTTGTTTTAAATTTTTTGTCCTCTCCGGATTTAATTATTGTATTGCGGATGAGAACGTAATCCCCGACGTTATACTGAGTGGGTTTACGATGACGTTTATCGTAATAAACTTTGTTGTAATTGCGGATCTTATTTGAGACTTCATAAGCGATTTCACGACAAGCGTCTCTCTCTTTGTCACAATCCAACTCGACTTTAGCGATCTGATTTAAAACACGCACAAGATGTGCATCGGAATGATTCCGAGCATCATACCCTAAAAGAAGTTTAGAAGGGGTTGACTTTAGTGACGAGTGATAGGTGTTATTAATAACGTATTGAATGGCTCCAATTTTGGAAGACCATGACGTCGGATCATCGATAGCCTTTTTGAGCGATGATTTTAAGAATCTATTGACTCGCTCTACAAGACCGTTGGCCCAAGGAGCTGCAACAGCTACTAAGCGATGTGAGATGTTTTTAGAGTCTGTAAACTCAGAGAATTCACGAGAAGTGAAAGCCGTTCCTCTATCCGAGACAATTGAGGAAGGATTTCCAAAAATATCAAAAACTTTCGTGAAATTTTTTATCACTTCTATAGATCCTGTTGATTTGACTGAAAACAGCCAAGTGAAACGAGTGAAGGCATCGATTAAAAGCAAGATATGCTTATGTCCTTCAGATTCGGTAAGAGGACCGAAATGATCACAATGCATGATCTGCATTGGATACGATGGAGATTCTACTTGCTGAATTTCTCCTTCACGGGAATGAACCGATGAATTTGAAATCAGACAATCTAGACAATTATCTAGATGATCACGGACTTTTTTACGTAGGGAAGGAAACCAGTAATTCGAAGAAATTCCTTCAACCGTTTTATCAAAACCACAGTGGGCTTGCTCATCGTGATAAATCCGAATGATGTTTTGAATCATAGATTCTGGGACAACAAAACGAGGTTTGTCTGGTCCTTTTTTGAAGATGAGACCATCAATTAAGTCGAATTTATCGTGGTCTTCAAATTCCAGTTTATGTACGATTTCCTTTAAGTAAGGATCCTGAAGTTGTTTAAACTCGAGTTCTCTTTCGAGAGGCATATGCTCAACGTAACTGGAAACGCGACTCAAGGCGTCGACGTGGCACATTTTATGGCCAGCTCGGTGAGAAACCTGGAAACGATAATTTTGAAGACGTAATGTCCAACGCGCAATGCGTGGATTTAAGTGAGCCTTATTCACGGCGTACACAAGAGCATGACAATCGGTAACGACCGTGAAATTCAAACCGTAAAGATATATATGAAACCTTTCGATTGATTTCAATACGGCTAGCATCTCCAGCTCAAAGCTGTGATACTTTGACTCAGCTTGGTTAGTTGTTTGACTGTAATAGGCGACCGGGGCCCATTTACCTTGACTTTGCTTTTGAAATAAGATTCCAGCCAGAGCAATGGAACTGGCATCCGTGTGCAGCTCAGTTTCTGCAACAGGATTGTAAAGACGAAGAACCGGAAACGAAACAAGTTCTTTTTTGAGAGTCTCGAAGGATTGACAACAATCACTATCAAAATTAAACTGAGTAGCTTTCCTCGTTAAATTATTCAAAGGCTTTGCTATGGCAGCGTAATTTTTAATGAACTTACGGAAATAATTGGTCAAGCCTAAGAAGCGTTGAACCTCTACAAGTTTTTGAGGCTGAGGAAAATTGCGTATGGCCTCAGTGTGGCGAGGACTTAAAGTTATTCCATCTGGGGAAATAATGTACCCTAAATATTCGATTGTGGTTCTTAAGAAAGAACATTTCTCATAATTGAGCTGAAAAGAATATTGTTTTAAAATCAAAAGTACTTCTTTGAGAGTCTTGAGATTCTCTTCCACTGTTTTGGAAGGTATTAATATATCGTCAATATAGACGATGACTTCGTCCTTTCGAATAAAGGGTTGTAAAACGTGTACTATACGTTTTTGAAATTCCGCGGGAGCTTCACAATATCCAAACGGAAGTTTTTTAAATTCGTATTGTCCATCAGGCGTCGCGAACGAAAAATACTTTGTATGATCTGGATGGTCTATTTGATGGAAACCATCTTTAAGGTCGAGTAAGGAGAAAACCGTTCGATCCGATAACTGTGAGAGACAATCCTCTATTTGAGGGAACGGATATTTTTGTTTCTCTACCCGATCGTTCAAAGGCCGCAGGTCAACGCAGAGACGAAGAGAACCGTTCTTCTTTCGCACCGGAACAACCCG